CTTTCCATCGTACTGGTATTGTCTGTTATCACAGTCACTTTTGACAGCAGTTTCAAAGTGCCTTTTGAATGGGGGGGGGGGGGGGACAACACCAGAAAAGGAATTTTGTTAGATTTCTATTATTGTGAAAATGGTTGGTATTTATTTCTGTCACTTCTTTTTATAGGCACGCCAAATTTAGTGTTTTGGTGATTTTTCTCAGGCACCTCCAAATTATAAAAAATCATGTAAGTCCCATCCTAAACCATTACTTTATATCCATTTCCTGCCTTCATCTTAATCATGATCCTCATCTATTTTCATACCTTCCAGAGTCTGAGGCCATCTAAGGAATCGCAAAACCTTTTCCATTTCCGCTTCCTCCCTCCTGTCACCCATCTTGTTAATTCATTCTCTGTCTCCTAACAGTAATGAAGGTAGGATGCAGAGGTAACAGGAGGGAGAAATCCAACAGAGATACTTGCCACTCCACAGCAGCCCTGAAAAAATATATCTGCGAGGAGGTCGTGGTGATGGCAGAGGTGGGGGTGGTGTATACGTAAAGGCTGGGAACTATTGATTTAATAAAAGCGTTTGGAATGTAAGTAAATTTCATTTATTCATACCATGGTAGGCTATGCTTACCACAAGCACTTTGGCCATCTCTTCTCCCTAGGTGTGAGACCTAAAAACAAGCACTTGAAACCCTGATGAACTACAGTCGACGAGGGAAAAACTTCCTAATGAATGTAACAATCTCTTCACTTGTCATCCAACAGTGGTCATTGGGGGAGAGTCAGTAAGTGGGCTTCCAGGTAACTCTGCATGGCAGTGGAGGGTTGGTGGCATGTGTAAGTTTGCAGTTGGTATACATGTATTCCCTAATTTATAATCAGGTGAAAAGTTGGGCTGTTCTGATAAGATAAACAGTCTTCCTTAAAGCATCATGAACAGTTTTTTACGTCTCTCTCCAAGTCATTTTGGATACAGGCCTCAAAGAGGATTATGGGAATTGGAATTTCTGTTGTACTACCCACATTTTCATCCGTGGTATCAGTGAGCTGTTGAATTCTGCTTCTTGTGGAAAAAGCAATAAGTTCTCAGATTGTCCTTCTCTGCCAGGGACCCAGCCTGGGTGCCCAAGTGTCCTGGGCCCACCTTCCCTGTGAGCCTGTCCTGCCACCCAGTATCTCTACTGTCCTTGCTCCTTCTGCTATTGCATCCAGACAAGAGGCTCTGTCTTGTCTCAGACTTAGTCAAAACCCACTAATTTTTAACAGAACGTTAAAATGGAATTCTTTTTATGTTCTGACAGAGATTCTTAGAGAATAAGTTGAAAGAGTAAAAACTGGTTTCTTCATGTACTCTACTGACTTTACTTCATCTATTATAAAAGTCACAACTATTTTTGCTATCCTATTATTTTTGTGTATTATGATTTCTACTTAAATTGACTTTTTAAAAACTCAGACTTACCCTAAGTAATTATATTTGTGATGCTACAGGTTTGGTATGCTAGTTATGTGTATTACAAAAAAAAAAAAAAAAAAAGAACCTGACCTTTAAAATTAATGTTTAAAGTTAATGTTACTCAAATACCACCTAATTCAAGTATCAAAGCAGCCACCAGTTATATAGACATTTCATTTTAGAAATGCTGGTCTATGGGTATCAACTAGCCAATCTGATACATTTAGTTAACAGGACAGTGTTGGATGGCCCGCATTGAATGGCCCAGGCAACTAGTCTATTTTAATGGTGGCCTTCCAGAAATTCTTGACTTTCCTGCTTTAGGACCTGATAACTTCCTCAGGGAGCATTTCAAGCACAGGAAGGCATTGCTGAGGCAGCTGTGGAGGAAGTTATTTGGGGGCATTTGAAGTCGTGTGGTCCACTGACATCGTATTGTGTGGGCAGCCAGAGACTTCCCTTCAGTTTAGGGTTGGTTGGTGCCTACTTCTAGGACTGGGAGATGATTTCCTGAAATGCTGGTGGCATCCTGGGGAGTTGCTTGGGAGAATCATTAACAGTTGTTAAATAAATCAATCCCTCTTGCTGCATGGAGTTGTACTGGTGCCAAGCAATTCCATTGCCAATCAGTGCCCACAGCTGTTCTGGGGAACAGTTGCCTTTCTCTGCGAGGTACTTCCCGGACCCCTCCCCTAAAGTGACTTCTCTATGCTCACAGTCGTTTCTTTTAAGTCAACCATTCCTGACAAAAAAGTGATATTACATCCTGCTCTTGTTTTTGTGATGCAATAACAGGTTAAAAGTACGTACACACACACAATCCCTACACACAATTAATACTGGGAAGCCTTGGCTCTAGAGTCCTGACCAAAAAATAAATCATGACTTTTTATTTATGAGACAAAGCAAATCTTAATATTTTTAAACAGGTGCTGTATTTGGGGGGAGTAGAACGACACTGAGATGTAAAAAATAAATTCCTGGATTAGCAAGTAGGAATTGAAAGAAATTTTCAACCATCATTAACAATATTCTTTTAAAAGCATTTGCTTGGTGTGTAGTGCCCTTGGTAACCATCCTCTAAATATTTATATTCCTGGGTCCCATCTTGAAGAAGTTCACGGTGTAAAACTGGAAAGCAGAGAATTCAGACCCAAGGAGGTCTGTACTAAAGGCGTGTTAGGGGAATTGGGGAAGAGGGTCTTGGCGCTAAAGGACGATTAAGGGGAAGCAGAGCAGCAGTGGCAGGCCAGTGACTCCAGGAGCTCTTGCCTTTTCCCCTCTCCTGCTTACTGGCCTGGCCTTCCTGACAGAGACACAAAGTGAGAAGTAGGAAGGTTCACAGAGATGGAGGAAAACGCAGGAACGATCCCAGCGCCGGCCCATGAGTGATGTCTGGTTAGGAAGAGGCAATTTAATTCCCAATTCTGCGGAAAAAGTGACCTTTGCGGATGAGCGAGTGTTGACAACTAGGCCATTTTTCTCCAGCTTCAGGGACAATGTGATTCTGAAAGCAAGGTTGGCTCGTCCCGAGACTCAGAAGAGGATCGATACTCCGATTATGGTGGGGACGACGGTTAGCGTCATTTAGCTGAGGTGGCAAACGAAGCCACAAAGCCGGAGGGAGGCCCGGAGTTCGCTTGGTAACGACGTCGAGGTCTGAGGAGGCCGGGAGCATCCGGACCCGCAGACGGGCTTCCCCGGGCACCTCGCTGGGGTGCAGACGCCTTTCTCTGTCAGCCTTTTCCTTTTTCACTGGAGGAGGGGGACGAAAGTTGTTATAATCATTGCTGACTTTTCCTTTTAAATAAGTACTCGGAACGGCACGTCTCTGTAAGAAGCGCAGACACGGTGTTGTGGCCCCGAGACGCTCGCGGGCCGCGGCGGGAGGGAGCCGGGGAGGCGCGTGCGCACTCGGGGCCGCCGCCCGGGCACAGAGCGGGGACGCAGAGCGGCTCCGAGCG